AAAAAAAAAAAAAAAAAAAAGCTGTGTGAGTAATTTAACTGAATTAGCAAATCATTTCCACTCATTAAGTTATAACTTGTATTATAAACTTTGATCATATTACTACTTTGGATTGTTAAAATCCTCTAGAGTTTAAAAAAAAAAAAAAAAGACTGAGGAAAACTTAGATATCAAAGGGAAAAAAAAAACAGCATGTATTTCCCTTTGTAGACAAGTAATGTATTTCACTAATATTTCTTTTTCTGTTACATATAAGGTTTGTCTATATAAGCGTATACAATATTTTATGTCATGTTCAAATTCACGACCATGCAACTTTATGATATAGTGACAGTGTTTCTCCAATGTCTGTCTACACAAGTGTCATTGTTCTGCCAAGCTGATGTCAGGCAAACTAATTTTCCTGCATAGAAAGCTTCCAAACATGTTTACTTCCTGATGATGTGTGAGGACATTTGTTGTTAGTAGCTGCAATCCATCTGGCAAAACAGTGAGTAATAGAGTTTGCAGGTGTGCGTGCATGAACGGAGCAAAAGAAAAAACAAAAAAGTAATTTGATAATGTGAGGGGGCATTTGCAGATGTCCTTTGTGTACATGTCTGATGTGCAAAAAAAAAAAAAAAAACCAAGCCTGGTTGACCTTTCATTTCCTTGAGAGATTTGACACTTCAGTCTGTCACCACCTCCCTTTATTCAACCCCAGCTGATTATACAACACCTAAGCGCACACAGATGATTGTCTTTCTACTTGCCAAAACAGAAAATGCTAAAAGATATAAACTGAAAGCTAAGGTACACGAGTTTACATCAGGGCCTAGGAGCTGATATTGATGAATGGTCAGGAGGAAGCCAACAGGCACTTTTAATTTAATGGGAAGGTTTTTGGCAAGACTGATTTAAACTGTGGTTATAAATATGGGATGAAAAAGTGGAGCACAAATTATAAGTGAATCACAGACAAGCACACAAACCTACACAAGATCAAATATCTTAGGTCTTAAGAAAATAAGCCTTTTTTGTCTGGCAGCAGATCATTTTATTTACGTCAGTGTGTATGTATGTCTGTATGCATGTATGTGAATAAATGATGATGATTTCTTATTGATTTTACCACTGATTCTGTTTATCTTAATATTTTCAACTCAAACTAACAGAATAAAGCCATTTGAGGCACAGTTTCCAGTACAAAATTACTATGTCAAGTCAGGATTTCCTATTCCTAAGCATGTTATCATTTCAATCGCTTTGCATAGTATTAGAAAAAAAAATCAAATATATGTTCATGTTTACTGTGTGAATTCATACAATACAGCAATATACTCCTATTGACAGGTTACATTAGAGTGCAGCACATTGAAAATGTAGTTTGCTGATTTCAGACTAGGACAGCACATAAATTGTGGTCACAAATGATCTAGAACTGATAATGTGAAGCTTCTATTTAACCTATTTAAAGAATACAAAAGTTCCTGCAACGATTACAAATAAACAGTTGCCTGTCTAGCAAGAGGTGAAGAGAGAATCCTGCAAAATTCATTGCAGCAAATTAGCAAGGTGGTGGGAGATGGCATGCTGTGTCATGTGCCCTAGAGCAACAGCTGCAGATGCAGCTTGTAACACAGTCATTATCCACACACATGCTCACTGCTGATTCACAGTCACAAGTTTTGTTTTTTTTTTATTTGCAATCACCACACCAATTACATTTCAGATTCATCAGAGATTTGTTACTTCGTCAGAGAGATTTTGTTTTAAATTCTAGCCTGTATCACATATCTTAAAAAAAAAAGAAAAAAAAAGTATTATTTATAGCACTATATGGATGAAACCTATCCAAGGAAACTATCACACTCTCTACTGTATGCTGCAGGTACAATATCCATCTTTTCATTAACTTCAGACTTGATAACAGGCATCAGAATCTATGGACCAAATTTATTTCAACACAATAAGTCATCATAAACTAGACATTATTTTATTTATAGTGTTTACAATCATAAGGATCACAAAGTCAGAAACCACTGAAGGGGATTTGTTTAAAAACAAACAACAACAAAACAAACAAAACACACACGAGAAATTGGCTGTTGAAATAGCAAGCTGTTCTGTCAATGTAGAAAAAGAAAGCAGACATCCAAACAGTATCCCTCCTTCTTTAGCAACAAGAGCAACTTAAGTAAATCCTAATGTTGCAATGTGGCAGAGAAATTCTCCCACATGAAAAGAAAGATAATTGCAGAGATCACATGAGGTCTGGACTATCAGCTATGCTAGGATGAAAAATGACATGGCCTTCAGCAAAGTCTGTCCCTCATATCAACTCATTGTTACAGGCTACAGGCTTGTAGATTACACCACTTCTCTATGATGTTCCTGTCACAAGCACAACAGGGGAGGTGTCAGGTCCTTTCAAACTCATGGTCTTACCGTGTTCCAAACCTTTTGGGAAATAGGAGATACTAAAAGACACACATCCTATAGTGGTTTGTGTTTACTGCTGTAGCCTTAAGGCATAGATACAGGGGCAGAATTTAATTATAAAGGTTGAACAGATTGAAAAAAAAAGACAAGGAATATGACTAGCTGCCGTTTGCAATCTGGAAAAGCCAGACTGAGGCCAGCTACCAAGACACACGCCTAAAACTATACTCCGGTTTTCTGAGATCTTAGGCAATGTTCATTGCCACTGCATACAAAATAGTTGTGTCTGGTTTTAACATTTATTTATGTGAATCCCTCAGCTGGAAAACTGCCAAATGCTTCTACAGTAAAAATACATAATTTAGCCTTGTTCCATAATTTGAAAAAGTCAAAATTACATTTGCAGTGCAGCTTCAATGACATGCTGCAAAAAGCCATAGCCATTCAGTCTGGCACACTGATAAAAATCCTTTCATTCGTGAGGGCAATGTCTCGAATGAATGACTAAACTCACCCTACAAAAACATCTTAAAACCGTGATATAAAATCAGTCAGCCTTGATTTTGAGTGCATGTTTCACTGCCAAATAGATATTGGAAGAAGACTTTTTTTCTCTCCCCCCCTGCTAATTTCAAACAGTCAAGTAGACAAACACACCCACTGGTGTGACATGGCACTTTCTATTCAAGATACAATCTGTTTTCACCAAAACACACTAACAGAAAAAAAAGCACCTCATTTTCAGTGGAAGGGAGATTTATTTCTGTTAAATTAGTGTGGTGAACAATGAATGTAGGTGTAACATAATTCAATTTACTACCTATAAGCTTCCTAATCTATCACACATCTAATATTATAGAATTATAAGATTATAAATTCTATTAATGAAGTCTACAATGAATTCATGAAGTAAATACAATAATAAATGTTGAGTCAACACATTTCTAAATGTTAGACCAATATATTTTCATCTGGTCATTTTTTAATGCTAATGGTCTATCATTGTAGCCAATTTGCTAATCCTTTAATGTCAAGACATTATGCTGAGTGCAAATACATTCACTTGACTCACTGGTATGAAGTGGGGCCACAACAAATGTTTTTGCTGCTATTTAACAAGATTTAACTCTTTAGTTACTGCTTCTACTATAGCAGGTGCTGTTTATTTGTGGATGAGGCTGTGACCATGGGTACCATTTGCATAGCAGGTCTGCCTAAGGTCCTTGCTGCCAGACTCTTCAACTGCTGTGTTGGTGCATGGTGATTAATGAAAATGAGTCTTGTAAATGGATTAGGGTGCAACAGATGTACACATTTTACATAATAACATTTTATCTCCCTAGCTGGGTAGACGCAACCTGTGTAGAGCAACACAACCATTTACAAGACACTTTGCTCCTGGACCAGATGATACAGCTTCAAACTAATTCAGGAAGCCTGAAGCCTGTTTTATCATTATTACAAGACTGTAGAATTCTCCTTCGTTCAAATGTGCTATTTGAGCAATACTGTGGTTCAGGGAAAGGCAAAAGCTGTTCGTACAGGCACCCGCTTCTTCTCCTTCCTCTCTTTTGTTTTCTATAGCCGATATTGACCTCTGACCTCTGACGGGTGTTTTCCTACAGGGCTAAATTACACTTGGGCGATCACTACAGGTCACCAGCATTATTACGCTACCAGTATTTATCTTTCAGTGAGTAGTTAATGTTTAATGCCTTGTCACAACTCTGTGTTAGTCTGTCATCTCACGACTGACCCACAAAACCCAATAGCTGGCTGCGGCCCTGGAGCTGAAGAGCAGGTGCAGCAAACAGATCTCAAGCTATCGTAGCCAATGATTAAAGCTAACGTTAGCCAGCTGATGGGCTAACTCTGTTTCATACAACATCAATACAGAGCTAGCGAACAGCTACATATGTAGCACTAAGAGAGCAGCTAACGACACTTACTCAGTGGTCCTCCAGGTCCGAGTACCTGGTCTTTGGCAGGTGGAGTACCGCTCTGTCGTTCGAAGTTGCCAGGGTTGGAGAAATAATCCCTCAGCCGGGGGAGCTCTCTGCCTGCTTCCAGCAGTTCGGTGTGAAACTCCAAGGCCGTGAGGATGTATTGGTCCCGCAATAACTGGGCAGCGATGACATCTACAGATACCCGCGTCTCGGCGCTGCCTGCCATAGCGGAGGTGGCGGCGGCCGACGCCGAGATGCCCTCACCGCTGGGGCTCGTCCGGTTGCTAGACAGCAGGAGCGACGGAGGCTCTGCGTCTGCAGGCGGAGAGAAAGGATTGCCTGGCGGTGGTCCTGGCGCCCCGTCACTCGGACTCCGCTCTGTGTCAACTGTTTCGTTAGGGCGCCGTTCGGCCTCTTCTTCAGAATCACTGAGATTAAATGGGTTCACCGACGCCATTTTTGCCCTAAAGAGATTTTTTTTTTTAAAGCTAGCTAAGCTAATCACACCCGCTGCTTCCTGAATGGATATTAGGTTAGCTAAGGTTTGGTAGGTGGAAGAGGAGGAAGAAGAAGAAATGCGAAGCTACGATTGGTCAAATGTAAGAGACGCTACTCCCAAAGCCCGCCCCTTTTATGGAATACTGGAAAAGTATTGGGTACATTTGATGTAGAGAGGAAAACTAGGCAGGGCACATTTGACAGCTGATAGCAATTGCTAGCTACTATGCTGTCAAAAAAAAGCTGCGCTCAAACCATTTCTATTAAAAATGCACTTCACTGCAAACAAAACAAATAAATAAGGGCTGCTTATTTTTTATTACATTTCGTAATAGGTAAACTTGAAGTGAATCGTTTAATTTAAACTACACTACCCACAATGCAGCTACAAACCACTACGTCAACACACAACGTCAAAAACGAGTGACAACAAGGAAGTGAATGCTCATGCTGCCTGAATTTCTTGTAGTAATCTTCTTAAACAGGGAGACATTTGGTTTTAGGTTGATCTTTTTTTAGGTTGATCTGTCTGGTTCTCTGAGCATGTTCTTGGCGATCTACGAAGTGACAATGGAAGCTAAAGCAGTGTGAATCTATGAACTTGTAGTAGTAGTAATAGTAGTAGTAGATCGGTTGGTCACTCACTCATTCATTCTTTAACGGAACATTATTCCCGTTTTTATGATCAAAATCCGCAGACGTTACATGCAGGTAAGACTCTTTTCATGGCCTGTTTTTCTAAGTTACTTTCTTGTTACCAGTGGTAAGTTGGCTGGACCATTAAAATATTCCGAATTAAACATTAAAGCCTTTTTTTAACGTTGCTTAATGGCATATGGTGAATGAAGGATTAAGCTGCTCTTAAGACCGCATACTTTGGCTTAACAAGCCTATATTATTCTGAAACCTTCTAATGCCCCTTCTATTGGCTTTAACTTCTTAATCCTGATTGCAAATGCAGGCTGTGAGTTGTCTTCATTCTATTCCATTTTTTTTTTTTAATTTTTCCTTCTTCTAGTCACCTCTTTTCACTTCCAAGTGAATTAAATCTACCCTGCTTGTCCTCAAGTAAACCCTCAGTTGTTCCTCGGTGTGGCTTTGGCACCCAAAATGAGGATGATCACCTTCTTTGTGATTGGGCTGACAGTCCACGTGGTCTTCTTCATCTCTATCTTTGATATCTACTTCACCTCTCCTCTGGTCCATGGCATGACACCCCACTCCACACCCCTGGAACCCCCTGCTTCCAGACTGGTGTTAGTGGTGGCCGATGGTCTCAGAGCAGACAGTCTCTTCACCCTGCTCCCTAATGGCTCATCCAGGACACCATACCTGAGGTCAGGAAACCAATACAAAGAAATAAATTTTGATGTGGAGTTTGGGTCTGTTTAATTATTCTTGTAAGGTGATGCCATTTTTACAGCATGTCTTTTCATTCCCCCTGTTTGCATAAGCATATGTGCTTCTGTTTCCATATTTCAGGAGTATAATAGAGGACAAGGGGACCTGGGGTGTGTCACACACACGTGTGCCTACCGAGTCTCGGCCCGGTCACGTTGCTCTCATTGCTGGCTTCTATGAGGATGTTAGTGCAGTTGCTAAAGGTGTGTGCATGATGGTTTTTGTTTTTTGTTTTTTTGTTGTTTTTTACATGGTAGGAAGAGAAATGCTCAGCGACTTGGAGAGATTACTCTCTATTGTATGTGTTTCTCTGTGGCATTCTACTGTGACCATTTATGTGCTTGTTTTCAGGCTGGAAGGAAAATCCTGTAGAATTTGACTCTGTGTTTAATGAGAGCAGACACACCTGGTGCTGGGGCAGCCCTGATATCCTACCTATGTTTGCCAAAGGTACACAAGCATCACAAACAGAACCATTAATCTACACAATAGAAAAAAAACATTAAATCACATATCACTTAACACACTGTTTGCTGCTACAGCTACACATGTTTCTTTTCCAAATATTTATTTATAAGTGACTTATGTATGTATGTATGTATATATATGTATATATTGTACTATTCTTAGTTAGCGTATTGTCTGTCTTGTCTTAATGTTGGTTTAAAATGGAGCACTGTAACAAAAAATAATTTCCCCCAGGGATCAATAAAGTATTCTGATTCTGATTCTGATTCTCATATCTGAGCAAACATGTTTCCTTTGGTTATTTCAGGCGCTAGTGGGGACCATGTGTATACCCACACATACCCGGCAGTGGAGGAGGACTTTGCCTCCACAGATGCATCCAAGCTAGACAGCTGGGTGTTCACTCAAGTCAAAGTATGTAGTGGAAGTATTAGCATAAAAAAATATTTTATGATTGATCTATTGATATTAACTACAGGTTTACCCACAAAAACACATTTTATAAAGACTGTGTTTTATGTATATTATGTGTGTCATGTGTCATGCAGTGAAATATAACCCAACTTGGAGTCATTGCAGAATTTCATTTACAGAATTGATCCACATGGATTTCCTGAATAAGCCTAAAATTATTTAATATTTTTCAACAGTCCTTCTTTAAGTCTGCACAGTCTAACTCCACTCTGAAGGCCAGCCTATGGGAGGATAAAAATGTCTTCTTCCTGCATCTGCTTGGAATTGACACTAATGGACATGCTCACAGACCAATGTCGCAGTAAGTAGTTAACCTTGTATTAAGAGCTGCTGATTTTTTATTTTTTTTATTTTTTAACCTTTGGGCAGTTGTGCAGTGGTTCTTAGTCGTGTTAACAAATTCATCCAAATAAGCATTCTCTCATCCAGCTGCATCTTTGTCTTCTATTTTGTCTTTTTTCCCCCAGAGAATACCTAGACAATATTGGTCTAGTAGATGCAGGTGTAGCTGAAGTGGTGTCTATAATAGAGGACTTCTTCGACAATGATGGCAGAACAGCCTATGTGTTTACCTCTGACCACGGCATGACAAACTGGGGTAAACTTGTTTGTGTATCTAAATGTTTTGCTGCCTGCTAGCGAGTTTTCTATTACAGTTTTCTATTTTGGCATGTTTGTGTGCGTTTGTCTCCAGGTTCCCACGGTGCGGGCCATCCTTCTGAAACGCTAACCCCTTTAGTGGCGTGGGGAGCTGGGGTTCAGAAAGCCAAGGGAGCCACAGAACCCCAACCATACAATGATGGGTTCCTACAAGGTACGTTCAAACACTTTTTTTTTTTAAGATTTAAATTTACAACCGATACCCTCCAGTTTGTCTGTTTTACTTTGTCTAAATGATTGTCCTGGTTTGTTTCTTTTAGACTGGAAACTGGAGCATCTTCGTAGAGTCGACGTCAGTCAGGTAAAGCTCATGGAAATTTAAACTTTTTAACAATTTCCTGTCATCAGTTGTATTAAAGTGTAATATTTGTGTGTCTTCGTTGTTTGTTTGGGTTTTTTTGGCAGGCTGACATTGCTCCGCTCATGGCTTCCCTCGTTGGTGTGCCTATTCCTGTTAACTCTGTTGTAAGTCAGAGACAAAATCAGCCATTTAATGGGAAATGTTCAATAATTTTTCAAGTCTTTGTTACATGTTTTGTCTGTATTTGTTTTTCAGGGCGTGTTACCTCTTCTCTACCTCAACAACAGTGAGCGGTTCATGGCTGAGAGCATGTACACTAATGCTATTCAAGTACTGGAGCAGTTCAAGGTATAACAGCATCTGCTTTGGCTAACAAAATGCTTATCAACTATCTGTCATGTCTTTTATTATTCTATATGACACTGTGATCTAAACTGATGGTAAAGCTGTGTTTTTACTGTGTGTGTTTATTTGTAGATGAAAATGATGCAGAAAAAGGAGACAACCTTATCTTTTCTCTTCACCCCATACCAGTACGTACAGTAACTAACTGATGTTTTTCTAACAAAAATCCAATCAGAAGAACATGAATTTGCTTTTCACCGTGGCCTGTTGTGTTTACTGTGACCTCATAGATAGTGTAAAGAGAATAGATTAAAAGAGTCATTTGCAAAGAATTAATTGGCAGAAACAAAAGTATTTGTAACGTAAATGCTGTGTTTTTATATCAATCCCATTTCCAGAAAAGTTGGGATATGTTCTAAAATGTTTTTAACCTCCAAACTCTTTCATGGCATGCATTTTTCATTTCTCTTAGCTATTTGGGCTGTTTGGGACCTGATGAATGTAAAAACAAAGAATTACCAATCTATTTTTTTTTTTTTTTTTACTGATTTTTGTTTCTGAGAAAAATTAGATCCATATATGAAGACATTTGTTTTAAATTTTGATAGAACAGTAGCAGTATAACGTCCTCGTAAGTGGATATCAGGCCCTTGTAGAGCAAAATTTAGTATTTTTGTCTAGACAACCCAAAATGTGATGTCCACATATGTGGATGCCAGGTCCTAGGAAGTTAAAAAATACAAATCTGTGATATGTTAATTCACGTGAACATATATTCAAGTGACCAAAGTACAAAGATGTTGGAAGATTTCCTGACCTACTTAATTGTTTTTTGTAAATGTACCAAAATTTGAATTTGACAGGTGCAACACAGTAAACACAAAAGTTGGGATTGAGACATATTTACTGTTGTTTTTTTTTAACTGAGTGTTGTAGTTTTCCAGTTAGAAATTTTGTTCATTTTTACTTGGTTTAACCTGCGGTCATGTTGTCTGTAGGAAATAGATCCTAACAGGCAGCGCTCTGTGCCTCAGTCAGTGGTATCTACAGATGCAGCTCGCCCTGCTGTGGTCACTGATGCTCCTCTGTATCATCACAGATCCTTTTGCATTTTTCGCTGATAGCAATCTGGATAGTTGTTTTCAACATTGGCAAAGAGAACTCAGCGCTGTTTTCCAAAAACACAGAAATGTGGATTTATCTGTGCATAGCGCACAATGACACAGTCTTTCTGTCCTTCTGAGGTGAACCCTGACATAGAGAGCTCTATGCAACTGACATTTGACTTCCTCCTTCAATCATAATACAGTTTCAAGTTGCATTAGTGGATGTGGGTCTATGTTAAGTGACAGTGGTTTTCTGAAGTACTTCTGAGCCCCGGTGGCTATATTTATATTTATATATTTATATCACTGCAGCGTGACTGTTTCTAAGGCGGTGTAGCCTGAGGGCTCAAGCTGGTTTCAGTCTTGACCTTAGTGTGAGAAATGGTTTGAATTCTCTTAATCTTTTCATAGTGGTACATACTATAGATGTCTGAAGAAATTTCTTTGCAATAGTGCACTGAGAAATCTTTTCTTTTGAAATCTGGAGCAATTCTCTCATGAATAACACATAAGGAAATAAGGGATGAACCACAACCCACAAAGACCGAGTTTGTGGTGATTTCTAAATTTACCTTTACCCAATCAGTTACCCTGCTTAATCTGGTTCCTCTGAAGATATAAAGTTTTGGGGGGTTTTATTGCATTTTGGAAAAAATCCCAACGTTTCTGGAGACGGGGTTTGTACTTTCACAGTAAATTCTTTTGCTGACCCATTAAAAATCAGTCAATGTGACATTTAGATTAACTTCTGAGGTTATGCAGCACGAAGGCCAAGAATGTGTCCACTAACCAAACCACATATTCATGGCCGTATTTAAATTGCACACTTTCACACACTTCATCTGTTTTGCACCATCTTGCACCCTCTTTCTTCCCAGACTCCTGACTGAGTCAAAACAAGCAGAATTCACCCAGAAGGCCCGAATACTCATTCAGCTGGAGAAGTACGAGGATGCTGTGAGTATGGGGGGTCTGTGGCTTTTAAATCTAATCATACTTTTACAATACGTGCAAAGCCAATTTCTAGATTTATTTTGATACTTTGATGAATTATTTAAACATTTACTGAACCTGTGTTCATAAACTAAAGTCTAACTTAAATGAACTACAGTAAATGCATTCTACATTATCGCTACTTTCTCCATCGTATGTTTTCTTCCGCTTAAGCAACAAATTAGGTTTTTGTCCCCCCTATTTTGTCTCTTGTCAGATCTCTTTGTGCCAGTCTCTGATATCTCGCTCTCTGGAAGGCTTGGTTTACTACCACACCTACGACCGATTCTTCCTCGGTTGCAGTGTGGTGCTGGGATTTGTAGGCTGGACCTCATATGTCGTCTTAGTCATACTGAAGACTCACGCGAGTCTCAACAGACATCCTAATCTCACTAAACAGGTTAGGATATACAGTAGATTGTAATCCCTCAAGATGCCTTCCACCCAAACAAGTCTGCACAACCCGAATGTCTTGTTAAGTTGGTATTTTTCTCCTGTGTGCAGATTCCTGGCCGTAACTTGGCAAGGCTGTGCACGTGTGTGGCAGTGGTGATCACACTCTTCCTGCTTATTCAAAGAAGCCCCATAACCTACTACATTTACTGCCTGCTGCCTATCCCTGTGTGGTATTCTGTTCTGAAAGAGTAAGTAAAAGACACATTCAAAATAATGCAAACTGGATTTAAAAAATGTACAAAACAAGTTTGTTCAGATGCATTCAGTCAATTTACAATAATTTGTATATTTACTATAGTCACAGAACCCTGATATTAAAACACACGCAAAAGGATCACATCAGTCAGTGAATACAGCAGCTTTTCACTGGATCTAATTAGCCTCACACAGGCTTGTATGCACATCTGGCTCAGGTGGAGTGAAGTGCTAATTAGATCCTTTGAACTGGCGTTTTATGCATTCATGGTTCTCCTATGTAAAAGGGATAAAGAGATGTTTTATTCTTCATCTCATCCTTTTATGACAGGAAAAAGTAATCCCCTCAATGATCTATTTTTAGGTCTGGAACTCTGAGAGATTTGATTCAGACAGCCCCTTCTCTCCCACTGTGGAAATGTCTGGGCTATTTTGTGCTGGTGGCGTTTGGGATTGAGCTGCTGGTAGGTGTCTTTAAATCTGCTGTGTTAAAGGCATCCTTCTGCATAAGTGCACAAAATTTCACTTGTGTATCATTAACTGTAAGAAATAAACCTGGATGCTGCATGGCTGTTTATTTTTGCTGCCCCCAGGTGGTGAGCTTCTTCCATCGCGCCATGCTGACTGTAGGGCTGGCTGTTCTCTCTCTCTGGCCCTTCTTGTCGGGGCTTTTTGGCAAGGCTAAGGTAATTTACAGATTAGCCAGATAAAAGCAGGAAAATGTGTGTTATAGCTGTTTTTAATATCCATCCCTGTTTTGGTTATGGACAGCACTGTTTCTCCAATAATATATATATATCTACATATATATATTTATAGATATATATATTATGAGTAAACAGAGTTACAAAAAATGCCTAATCATTAATAAGAAATGTCTAGCCATTCTAATTCTTCTTATGTGTCTATAACTAGAGTGTTATTGGTACTGCTTGCCTAAAACAGTAGATAATTATAAAGGTAATTATTAAATATAGATACACAATGGTAAATGTGTCAAAGTGGAAGACAGCATTTCTTTTTGTCTCTGTTTCGGTGCAGTCACGCTCACTGAGCTGGCTTGTGGGCTGTCTGTGTCTAGCTGCTTTCCCCCTCATGCCTGTTGTGGGTAGAGAACCTAACATACATCTGGTGTGAGTACTTCCTTTATTTGTATATATTTATCTGAATATTTACCGCAATATCCTATCACGGAAAAAACTGAGAGCCCAATTCATGCCAGGTTAGGTAGGTGAGTTTCAGTAAATTAGAACATCTGCAAAACAGATCAGGAAGATAAAATGTGACTGGAATCTGCATCATATTAGTGATGCAAATATCCATCACAATATTCAAATATAAAACCCCAAAAAACTGTGGAGCCACGAGCATCCACCCCCAGTTAAAGGAAACTGAATAGACTTACTGTTAAAAGTTAAAGTCCCACGATGGTTACTTTCTCTATATATAAACAGACGGGAAATTTGAAAGTGGTACATTTGAAAACGAGGAATGATTAAACTGCTACACAATACCGTCTTTCCACAACGAGCTGTGTGTACAAACTATCCATGTTTTTGAAAGTACAGTAACACATCCTGTTTGTCAACTCAGTACCTGTGCAGGTCTGCTCGCTCTTTTCACCTCAGCTTGCTACCTCTGGTCATCTCGACGGAGGACACCGCTGCACCTCGGTGACAGACCACAGTTTGTCATACAGGTACATGTCACTGTGGGCATATGTGTTTTTGTGTGTGTTACTGCATTTGCTAATACTGATTAATTACCTGTCAAACCCGGCAGATGCTCCTTGTTGCTGTGTGTGCATACGTGCCATCCCTCACACACTCCAGCCTGCAACAGAAACAGGGCCTACCCCTTCTTAATCAGATCATAAGTTGGAGCACATTAGGTGGGTTGGTTGCAAGTGGCCACAAGATACTTGGGATCTAGAATGGTTTACTTTTTAAATATTGATCGCATACGTAAGCTATACCTCAAAAGACGTTAAAACGTCATATCGCTGACACCCAAGTAACCTCTGACAACTCTTCTCTCTACAGCATCTTCTATATTTGTTCCTTTGCTGAGCTCAACACGACTTTTTCATCGACTCCTCAGCATATTCTTGTCTCTCACTTCCACCTACCTGCTGCTTAGCACTGGGTAGGACAACACATTGATGCTTTAGTTGTGTCTTGTGCAGAGTTGCACCACCGCAGCAAAGCTGTAAAATGATATTTCTATTTTTGTCTCCCTCACAGGTCAGAGGCTTTGTTCCCCCCTGTGTTATCCTGGTTAATGTTTGTGTGGATTAACATCGAACAGGAAGCCTTGCTTGCTCAGGGCATGTCTGGTAGGCAAGAGGTAGAGCCATTGTTTTTCCCTTTGTAATAGAAAACTTTTGCAAACCAAAAGCTTTGGGAAGCTATCATTTATGTATGTATTTAATTGTGAAGGTCATATTTTCCATTTTACTGATATAACTCCAATTCACAACGACAGCCACTTCACAGAGCTTTATATTGTAAGGTAAAAACCATACAATCTCAGAAAGAAAACCTCAGCAGTCAACTGACATGAGGAAGCACTCAGTAATCGTGGAAAGCAAGAACCCCCTTTTAACAGGAAGAGATGTCTGGCAGAACCAGGCTAAGGGAGAGGCTGTTTGCTATGAGCAGTTTGAGGATGAGGGGAAAGAGATGAGAATGAACAGAGCTTAGAGAGAACACAGAAAATTCAAATTGCAGGAAAGAAAAGACACAGGTCTTAAAGTCCATGTCTCATTGTGGCCGGGTTTACAGTAGAGGTGCAACGGATCACGGTTGATCCGAAATCCGAACTGATCCCACTCCACGGTTCGGTACGCACGTGATCCAAAGATTCGAAAAAGAAAAAAAAAGTATGTGTATGGTGCGCGAGGTCAGTCTGTCAACCGGTAGTTATGGCCAGCGCTAGCGGTCCAAGTGGCAGAGCAGAGGAGTTTGCGGCATTTAAGCAGCCCTTTGCTGACCAATCTGACCGGGCTAAAGCTATTACAAAAGCTACTGGGGTGTTTAGTTGTGCAAAACAAGGGGTTTAAACTGTGATGAACGTGCTTGAGCCACGCTATGATATCTCGTTGCGCGTCCACTTCAGTGTGACAAGATCGTTCCAAGCATGTATGAGCAGGAGAAGTTTAAAGTTATGGCTGAACTGTCCCAGGCATCTTCTGTTGCTCAAACTACAAATGGGTGGACCTCCAGGGCAAAGGAAAGCCACGTGACCGTGACCGCTCGTTATATCACAGCGGAGTGGCCCTGTACTGCCCTATAGATCACATTAGATTAGATGAAACTTTATCCCTCGGGTGGGTTCCTCCGGGAAATTCAGTTTCCAGTAGCACAGCACCCACAGAAGTTGCAGAATGTGAGCAGAAATATACCATATATATAAACACAGAGAATACAAAAGGGATAAAAAGAATAAATAGGAATAAGAATACAAGGGAACGGCACATTTCAAGTATTGTGAGTCTATTACACCGTTGGTTATTAACAAAAACTATTGCACAGTGAAAAGGCACTACAGCTTACTTGTTCGCCCCTCCTTTGTCCCCGTTTCCCCTCCCTCTCCCCTCCAGCGAGGAGTTAAACAGTTTGTTGGCGTGTGGGACAAAGGACTTTTTAAGTCTGCTGGTCCTTGACTTTGGGAGAAGCAACCTGTCACTGAACAGACTCCTCTGGTTGTTTATGGCCGTGTGCAGAGGATGCCCAGCATGGTCCATAATGTCCATATTGCACCTTAATTTGTTTTTATATAAGTGCGTGGAATGAGTCTTCAGTTGAATGTTTTTTAATAGGCAAAGTAAATGGCGAGTTGAATTTTTGTCTTTTTTTTTTTTCTATTTTTGCTGATCCGAAAATTGATCCGATCCGTGACTTAAAACCGATCTGATCCGAACCGTGAGATTTTTGATCCGTTGCACCACTAGTTTACAGACATGCATGTTTTTTTTTCTTTTTCCTCCAGTTATCCACCATCGATTTCTCTGCAAACATCGACATCACCAAGATTCGACAGCTGAAGCTGGATGACATCCGAAGGTCCTATTTTTTTGTATCCTTGTTAAGACCAGTCGCAAGTTCGCAACAATGTTAGTTCGCCGAAGCACAGAAGCGCATTGGGCTCATTAGAGTCTGTGGGTGATGTTCAGGCTGGATTTGATCAAATAAGATGTAGTATTAAAAATGTAATATAAAAGTTTTTTATGTTTAAAGTGTACAATCGGACAAAAAAAAATCAACTTGGTTCATTCTCACATTGGGCATTACCTTGACTTCACCTTTTCTTCAGGTATTTTTTATAATAACAGCATTTTTTGGCACAGGAAACATTGCGTCCATAAACAGGTATATGCATTATAGTATTTTTGTGTGAGTGTGAGAGTGTCATACAGGAAGGGGATAAGAAAAAAAAGTCAGTTCTGACAAATTTCTTTTCTATGCACTATATGTTTTGCACCAAACATAGAGTACGTTAGTGTGTATATTCTACAACACGAGGTCCATTTTCTTCTCTGAAAAGTTAAAGATTCTAGTCTGGTGTCTGTAGTCACTTTGTGTACTTCTGTTTCCCTTTGCCTAGTTTTGACCCAGCATCTGTTTATTGTTTCCTCACTGTTTTCAACCCTTTCATAATGGGAGGGTTGATGATGTGGAAGGTACTGTACTCTTAAACATTTCCTTTTTGTGATATGTATTGTGCTTCCCCAAAAGGGGAAGGAGTCTTGCACATTATGACAAGTCATGATCTATTCATATTCTGCTTGAGAAATAAGCTTAAATACGGTTTAACCTGCCTTTCTTTTTCGCTCATGTTAATTTGTTTTAACAGCCATGACCTAGCCCATTAATTTCTGTATCTTTTTTTACATTTATTGTACGGAGAATTTAGGCAGACAGATTTGTAATAGAAATTTTTAGCATCATACGTCTAAACGAGTTTATATAATAATGTGTTTATTTCGAGTCATTTAATAGAATCCTGCATTTCCTTAAATTGTCATCTGTTCTTCCAGGTTATCATTCCATTCATCATAGTTATGTGTACATTTGAGACCATCCAAGTTGCAACACAGCTATCATCAAGGAGGTAACGCTTCGCTTCCTCATCTAAAATTATAAATTTAGTCTTTTAATTCTTGAATTAACTCTTTGAATTTGTTGGAAACGTTGAATCACTGATCTGATTCTGTCTGTAGAGTTAAAGTACGTTCTGTTTGCTTTGTTAGACATGACTCTTAAACCTTGAGGCATCTAAAATAACTATAGTAAATGGCCCAGGATCTTCTAGTTCCTCCTTCATTGTGCATGAAAAGGTTTAAATGCACTGACCAATGTGTGCTCCTTAATGTTTAAATCTCTCTTATTTTTATTTTGCAGTTTGTTCCTCATCGTCCTGGTTATCTCTGACTTGATGGCTCTGGTAATGCAGGTTTAATGTTGATCTTTTATAAAAGACTTTCTCTCGTCCACTGTTAAGCAAACTGCACATGAGGCTCAAATAGATTTTAACTCACTCTTGCTCTCCTCAGCATTTTTTCTTCATGGTGCAGGACTATGGCAGCTGGTTGGACATTGGCACAAGGTAATGAAACTTGGACATGCATTTAAAACCATGTCTTATCAATCTCTTGTTTGGGTGTCTGCGATGCATCGAAAACATGCTAAGCTTCCTCTGTCTTTTACAGCATTAGTCACTATGTGATAGTGATGTCAATGACGATCTTTCTCATGTTGCTGAGTGTGGTTACACATGTTCTCACTTCACAAAGACTCGTCCTGTGGAGGCAACGCAAGATGCACTTCCCCTAGTAAATGTTACCATGTGTCTTAAACACGATATTTATCAGTGTACCTATTTAACTGTCTTATTTCAGATATGTTTTATGTTTTGTCATATTGTTTTAATTTTTTTAATAGACAAAATGGAAAATAATCTTAGGAACCTAAATAATGCGATACTTTTTTTGCAGAGTGGCCTAAGACCTTTGCACAGTACTGTGTTGTGTTCTTTGGTACAAATGCACTCAGTCTTAGTTTCATTTGTGAATTTGTAATAGGCTGCTGCAAATATGACTGTGAATTGGGTTTTTGATGAGGGTGTTGATTTGCAACATAATACAATGGGACTGTACCTCAGTAAGAAAAAACTTTGGCCACATGTTGCTTGTCACATTTAAATATTTTACTCTGTACATGTTTCTCTGAAAGGGTTGAATCGTGTAAACAAATGAGGAAAAGCATTAGTAATGATAATTGATTTATGAAACGCATGCAAAAAGCAAACAAATGCTTTTGTGTGTGTTATTCTGCTTTTTCATGATTTCATGCTGCTACGATAAATGGTCTGGTGAAAGTATGTAACATGAGACTTCATAACGCTGCCTAAAATGTATGTTTCTTTAGTGTGAAAAGGGATGTTTTAACTTATTTTGACTACGTGTGTATCAATAAAACTGAAGGATTGGCGTGCAAACGTGTGTTTAAGAGAATTTAATTGTCGCGTGAAAACTTGAGTTGCAAATTGTTGACTTTTTCCATCATTTTAGACGTTTGGTTGTCTTCGCAACAGTGCATATTAGTAAAGATGACCTATTTAAACAAAATCAAAAATCAAACTGACAGGGAATTCTTAAGGAGTGACGAGAGGTTCTTTAACATCTAATGGAGTGTGGTGTCAACATCTCTGGCAGAATCAGGGCCAGGAAGGTGCAGAAGTTGGTGGGTAATTGTGCAAAAAGGCTGGGGCAACAGTTTTTAGGACAAGGGTTCTTTTTGCAATGAAAACAAACGATTGAACACTTTAATATTTGGCCCTCTATGCACTAGTAGTGCAGTAGAGCTACATTTGTTCAAAAATAGACATCAGTTGGACTTAAAGCTAACTAGAAAAAAATAAAAGATGAGGTAAATGTTCTTAAAATAAGCGCAAACCTAAATCAGAATATAACAGTATTAATTGTGGCAAAAGTGTAACTAAACAAATTCTATGTTTACTGTGTGCGGTTATACGCAGGATCAAATAAACCAACCTTTAAAAAACCATCGATGTTGGACAGCGTTGGTAGGTAAATGTTTGCAGCATGCACACTAAGCTTGTGGTCGGAGTGATGCGAAGGTGTTTTCCTGTTTAGTAAAGTGGACTGTGGTGTTAATTGGATCTTTTATGTTGACATCTTTGCAACTGTGGTGCAAAGTCAAAAGCTTATAAATTCCTATGATATTAGTTGGAATCACAATATACAATGTGCTGTATATGTCATATGACTTGTAACTTGTCTTTGCACTTTGTTGTTACTAAATAAATCTGTCAACATCACAGCTAGCATTACCACATCCTGACTAACTTCTCTTTTGAATAAGCAAGTAGATGACTTTGTCTAGCAAGCGCAAAAGCAAATCTTTCAAAGTTGTAACCAGGTTCAAAAGTATTTGGATGATGCCAAATACTGCCTCTCTACAGCAGAGTGGTGTTAGGATGTGAGTGCAGACTTTCAGCTTTGTTTAATAACTGGTTTCAAAAAATAATTATTTACAAACCATTAACTGTTCTGAACTCTAGAACCACCCAGACATTGCCACATGCCATCACCCCTCCCTTGAGATTTTGCAGTCACCTTCAGCTTCTGCTTGTTTTGTGTTTTCACCCTTGTGAAAGTTTTTTCTGAACTTAGACAGCTCAGCCACTCCAACTGATGTCTTCGATCTTTGAGGCCTTTTTGGTATCTTGAGCTCACCAGAGAATTCCTTATTTTAAAGAACGTAGCGCACTGTTGATTTGTCCACTCCCAAAGTTTTTCTACTTTCTCTCCGATCTTTTTATTTTGTTTTTTCATCCTAATGATGACCCTTATATAAAGAATTCCAGTGAATGCCTACCAAATGAAATTTCAGTGCTAGGTCATTTTTCTGTTTAACATGTGATGGAATAAAGCAGACCTCACTTGACCACAAAATTACTTACCAGTCAAGTGTGCACATACTTTTAAAGCTTCTGAAAATGTTTCGCTGTGTATAAAAATGGCTGTAATTCCTAAAATATTAATGTAATACTTTGGCTAAACTTTTCTGGAAAAAAGCTGAAAGTCTGCACTATAATCACATCTTGATTGTTTGATATAAAATCCACTATGTTAGTGTACAGAGGCAGAATTTAGAAGAAAAAAAAAACACAAACTGTGCCACACTCCAAATACTAGTGGACTTAACTGTGTTCTTCCAATCGACAACAAGTTGTTATCTTCCTAAGGTGTAAGAGATGCAAGAACATTAAAGTGAAAAAGTATAAACTTTTTTGTTTGACATGCATGCCTAATATGTTGCATTAATCTGTTGCTTTTGCGAATACTCTAATCATTTCACAGTGCTTTTAACTGTCTTTATCTACGGTCATCTGGTAAACCACACACAATTTTTTATACAGGACACAAGCACTACATTCCCCAAATTACTGAATCTCTTAATTTATTCGAAGTGGCATCCTACTACAACAACTTCTTATCGTCTATATTTCACTTTAAATGTCAAAGTGAAGAGTGCATTTAGAGAAAAATGAGGAAGTAAGCAACCCTGTGTTCCTGTGTGCTGACATGTGTTTACAGCAACCTCCTGTTTCTGACACAGTATGCAAAGTAGATGGTGGTTTTTTACAACACTCGCACGCAGGCTCACAAAGGCTTCATTTTCAGAACCTTAACTTCCACTCTTACTCTCTCTCTCACACACATGCGCGCATTCAAAGGCATATGCGCAAATGCACTCAACCAGAATCCGTTTTTTCTCAGCTTTTCTCTTCCTCTGCGACACTGTGAACATACCGCTGCTGGATATAATGTGATCTACTCCAGAGGACACACGCACACACAGAAGAGTACTCGGCATACAGTTCTTCACTGACCGAAGCGCAAGTAAGTTCACTGATAAACGATAGTATCTCTGGCTTGGACTTTGTGTTTTCTCATCATGTTCTTTCCAGTGTTGTGGTGCTCCTTTAATGGTTAATGTGGACCATATGGTGTCCTTCAGTGGTTCCATTATTGGTTAAATGGTCTATCTGTATTTCTTAATTCTTGAGATACCTTTTTTAGTTAGTCTTACTAACATGTTTGGTGTGTGACATAGCCACATGTTTTTAGTCTTGTTTCATCACCCGAAGACAAACAAGCCCTTAAAATACATTAAATCAGTCATTCTTATTTTTTTTCAATACAGCCTTGTGTTTTCTTTCTCTTTTTATAACACCCGTTTTTAATCATTTTTGGATACACTTCATTTCCACTAACTCTTCACACCTGCCTGTCTTCCTGTTCTAATGTCTCTTACTCTTTCTTACTCAATTTCCTCTTCTGTTTAGGATGACTTCGACATTAAATGGGACCACACTATCTCCAAACCAAAGTTCAACAATGACCACACCCTCAGTTTCAGAGAAAGATGAACTAGAAGAGTACCACACAGCCCTCTTGGTCATCTACACTGTGGTCCTGATCAGTGGTACAATTAGCCTTACCATGATGATGCGCATCATGAAATCCACCACAACTTCCACCACGTCAATTGCCGTACTCAACCTGATCTTCACTCACTTCATCTTCCTGCTAACGGTTCCCTTCAGAATCTACTATTACGCAGTTCATGAATGGGAGTTGGGCTATGAATGGTGTAAAATAACCAGCAGCATGATCCACATCCACATGTACATGTCTTTTGTCCTGTATGTGATTATCCTCATCACCCGTCTGTTGACGTTCTACAAGAAAGCTTGCCAGGTGGTGTCCTTTCACAGGATGCATGCATGCATTATCAGTTTTCTGGTGTGGATTATTGTGCTGATCACTGTCCCTTGCATCATCCATTTTAATTATGGCAAAGACCATGACAAAAATGCCACTCGTTGCTTCCAGTTTGGAAAATCTATAGAATCTGTTCTGATTTTGAACTACCTGACAAGCATATTGATTATAGTCATTGCCATTGTGTTGACAGCCTTCCAGGCCAATGTCCTATGGGTTTTATACAAGAAGCATCGGGAGGGATGCACCTTTCAGCAGGAGTTCGGAGCTCAGCTGAAGAGCCTGTGCTTTGCGCTAATCATGGTCATCTGCTTCATTCCCTACCACATTTTTCGACTGTCCTACTTAAACAATATAAAAGAATTAGAGGGTACAAATGAAATATTTCTGAGCATAACCACTTTTAACTGTTTGGACATGCTTACTTTCCTGGGGAGGAGGTCCTGTAACATGTGCTTTGTAGGAAAAGCTGCTTAAAAGCGGCTGGTACTGTGTTTGCTTCACTTTTTTTTATGCCTGTCAGGGTTCTGGTACAGTTCCATAAATTTAAACAATTTAATCTTATTGCTTTTGAAGTGTTTGAAATAGCATAAAAAATTATTAAAAAACAAATTTTATCATAAAAATTGCACATGAAAAAAAAAAAGACTGTGCAGACAACTGCGAATGACGCATAAACACTGGTTCTGATTATAAGCTTAGGTTCGACTTTCAGTTTCTAACAATAAATATTGACCTTAGTCAGACAAAACATTCCCTTAGTGGCTTATTTGGCTTCAAGTCTTTCAGATCACTTTACATTTGAACATAATTTAATATATACAGAGTTTCAAAAAATAAAACTGACAGACCCCTGACGATGTCCTTAGTTATGCTTTTGCACTTTTACAATTTTTGTACCATTGACTGACACACACACACACACACACACACACACACACACACACACACACACACACACACACACACACACACACACACACACACACTTTTCAAGCTGTGCTTTTTTTTAACTATTACTGTTGTTATTACTATATATGTGTACTGTGTCACAGCAAGCCGTGTTTTTATTCATGAGAACATTTAAGGACTTTAAAACTGTCTTTTGATTTTATTTCCTAATGCAGGCGCTCTTGCAATTTGCTGGTTTGTGCTTATAATAGAAAGGCTTCATACTTGGAATTTATAATGTTAGACTATGAAATTGGAGATCTCAGGATATTGTTTCTGTAAATCTGTGTACAAGGACTCTAAGTGGAAGTGAATACTTTTTAACTGTATTTGCACTTAACAGTTAAATCCTGTGTACATAGCCGATGTGAAGAAGAGAAATAAATACTGTAAATTGTTATGTCTCCCCCATTATTTTGTGAAACATTATCTCAAACCTTTTTTGGGTCTCAGAGGGCACACACACCTACACACACACACAGACTCACACCTGGTGATCTTTTCCTTTTCAGTTTTATGGTCCTGGGTTACTGTTTAACATCCCCACCCTAGTTTGAGTTTGTTTAGTAAATCGATCTAATGACAGGGCTATGGTGGCGCCATCCAATGTGTCGCTTTCTGAATTATAGGCCGCTCAGCTCTCCAACCTTCCCTTTTAACGTGGTTGAACACCTTTACTATTTTCCCATGCTCAGTGTGACTTAGTCCAATGACACACTGAGGGGCTCAGGGCTGCTAGCTGTCGGAGAACAACGGTACACCTGGATAAATGCACATCCCGGACAGAAACAGAAACAGAAACACAGGTAAGCCAAACATTTCTTTTTAAGTACACTGTCGCAGAAATTCAAATGGTTCACATCAGACTAAGAAGAGTAGAAGAAGTGTTGTTTTTGCTGTAGTGGGAGTGAAGGTTACCTTTGGTAGTTTTTCAAGGAAGTTTGTGAATGCGATCCCTTAAATCACGTGGTTTCTGTATTATGGTGGCAATGGTTGGACTCCTTGTTCGCACAAACGGCACCTGCTGCTATGTCCTGTAGCCAGTACTCTGTATCTGCAGGCATTTTGTAAAAAGCAGATAAGAAATACTAACTTTGCAACATGGGCTTGCGCTGATCGGGCGATAACCCATTTCATCTGCAGAAAGATGGTAATCTGTTCATGTGGTGTTTTTCTTCTACTATCACTGCATTTAATGTCCAATAGGACGATTCCATTTCTATAATGCAGTTCTATAATGAATTGATCTGAAGGAGGCGGAAGTTTTGCTCTTTATTTTTTTACTATTTACATGAACATGCAACGCCTGTGTGAACAAAACTACTTGTTTTTTGCACAAACCTTGACAATACATGAAGTATACACATATTGAGAAAAAAGAAACAACCCTTAGTTAATTTTTTAGCCCAGATTGCAATGGGATTGTTTTGCTGAGGCATTCCCAGAGTTGTTGATTGACTTTTGAGGCTGTGCATATCGGTCTGCCCTTTACTGTTCTGCTGTTCTGTTAGACTTAAACTTAACTATAATGTCTAAACCCACAGGACGCACTTCAGCTGAATTATTGATTTGTATTTTTTTAACATTTTTTTTTCAGCTTGCATATACAGTAACGCTAACTTTTCACTGTGAAGAGTGAGAGTTGCAAAACCATAGTTAACTATTTATTTCATGCATCTAGTCTCTTGCATGTTCTCTTCCTCTCTTTTGCAACACATAAAAAAGAAATACTGTGTTAAAGACGTACAGTTTTAGGAGTGAATACTACTGAACTGCGTACTTAACTGTTTCCAGAGTATCAGGAAGTAAGGGTTTACTAGAGTCAGTAATCGAGGCTGATTGTCATCTGTGACTATTAAAACCTAGTCTAAATAGAAGCGACAGTATTATGGCCAGTTCACACAGATATAGCCTCTTAGCTATGGGTTTTATGGCCACAAAAGGCTTTTGGTTGCTAGGCAGATGCAAGCTTTCTCAGACATGTCCTGCAACAAGCCACAATACCTTTTTAGTATTACAACTGTTTCTATGAATGTGATTCTCATACATTAAAATCTTTTTAATTTAAATTTACGTCTAGGCTGAACTGCTTCTATATTATATTTTCTTTTTTTGCCAGGTGGCAGAATAGACTTTCAATGTATCTGAGAGATCAACAAAATTAACAACCTACTGTGAAACAACACAAGCAGCTGATCACCCTTGCTGTTCCAAATGTTGTAGCTTCCTTAGTGCAAATCAGAAAGTGCTTTCTTATGTATTCAAAATGAAAAAGAGGGGAAAGATCAAAGGCACTCATCATTACAGAAATAAAGACCTCAATTGCTGTGCTTTCTGTCCTTGCTCTTAAGAGTGGAAGGTGAAGCTTTAAAAAAGCCTTTTAGAGCGTTTAGGCTGTTCTGGATTAAAGATTTTTTTACTTTTGAGTGAACATTGATTTTTCTTTCTATCTACAAGCCTAAAAGCACGATTCTTTGTTGTCTATTAAACTGTAATCACATAAGAACCTTTATTAGAAACTAACATGGAGCATCTGCATTTACCCTCATGCCTTTATACAGACTAAATGTGACGGTAAGGATGCAATTCTTCATCTTCCCTTTCCACAAATGTGATGAGTCAGGAGTCCTAACGTTACTACCTGGTTAAAATGTAATCTCTCTATAATCTCTCTATCACATCGCTCTCTCTCTCTATCGCCTCTGTCTCTTAGTCCCTACGCTTCCAATATTATAGAATATATCTGTTATTACCATGCAGCCAAGTGCTAATAGCGTTTTCTGTCATGTGTGCAATATTGTTGCCTAAACTGACCACACCATACCTGCACATATATGACGAACCCCTCAGACTGGGCCATTCACTGCTGATTTAGGGCATCAAATCTCCTATGACACTGCCTCTTATCATTTACAGTCTTCACAGCACAATGCCTCAAGCTGATTACCTTTAACCCACACGATAAGAGTTAGTGTAATGAAACCCCTGATTTAAATGGGTGGGTTAGGCACATGTTGATGGATTCATGCAAAGGTGGTCATATTATGTTTTTAACTTCCCTGACTGAAAATAGGAGGGTAACACCTGTTCCAATTTGCACTTTAGAGTCAATTTGTACTTACTAATCTTGTTTGGTTTTTTTTTGTTTGTTTGGTTTTTTGCAAATAATTATTCTAACTGATATGAAACCATAGACATTGATGACTGAGCTAAAAAACTATGAAAGAAGAAGAAATTAAAAGCAGTGTTGTTGGTGATGTTTAAAGTAGCAGTCAGATTATTTAGAAACTTGTAGTAGAAAAAGAGTAAATAAAGAGTTAAAAACAGTGGGTTGGGTGAACCCATGGTGTGTATGTGGATGCCTTAATGGGAGTTATCAGTGTTTTCTACTTCACTGCGTGTCCTTATAGATTATATCTGCTGAGGTGGTAGTGCTATTACTTCACCATTGATTAGATTAGGAAACCTGGGAAGGACACGCACAGTCACTCACACACACACACACACACACACACACACACACACACACACACACACACACACATACGTCAGATGCACATTCATACATGCTACTCTCTGTAAGAACAAACGCCTAAATTGTGCACATAGTGTGCAAGCATTCTCCAAATAAATAAATAAAAGAGCAATGAAAGACAGAGGAGGGAAAGGAAATGTCTCTTTTCTCACTATCTATTCATCCCTGTGATAAGTGTATGAGAGAAGGGTAGATAAGTGAAGTGTAATAAGGTGAGAAGAACCCCAGCTCCTCCCCTCCTTATTGTTCAAGGCCCAATCAGATCAGATTATGGGTCTTTTATGACAGGGATCTCCCTTGTTATTTCTGAAAGAAATAGATGAAACAGAGGCAGGACTATAGGAAAAAAGAAGAGAAGAGAAGAGAAGAGAAGAGAGAGAAAACCAGGCTCAAACAGGAATGAAGTATCCTCCTACTCCTCAGAGTAAAACTCTGTTAGATATGGAAGTAGCCAACTACTGTGAAGGCCTGGATCCTTCGTACAACACGCTGGGCTTTGAGCATGCAGAGGTACTCTATGTAGGACGAGGTAAGTGTGTGCAAATACAGACAGATTCACACCAAAACACAAACAAGTCAAGCACACAGAAAGACATACATTGAAAGATAGGCCACTCTCTCACATACTTATCAGGGCCTTTAGAATGATCTGATTGGGTCATCAGCCAGAGTACTGGATGAGGAGTTGTGGCTGTTTGTTAAATAAGACAGTCACTGATGAAGTTTAGTGACAGCAGCTGAACGCAAATGAGTTGCTATTTGCAGAAAGAGGGGAAATGTGTTTGATGTGTTTGATATGCTCAAGTGCACTGCTTGGGAAACTCTGACTGATGTTTTAATACTGACTGCCAGTGTGTATGTGTGTCTTGCTTGACACCATTATGTATAGTAAATCCCACTTGCCTGTTGTTGCCTGTGTATGTGTGTATGCATCATGAAAGGAAGTGTGTGTTGTGAAGGAAATAAAAGGGCTGTGTCAAAGTTTGAGGGGGACTAAATGAATGATAACCAAACAGTTTAGGCAGAAACTGCAGGAATGTGTCATAAAGATATTTTACTGGACAGCAAGCACAAATCTCTGTGATACACGGGCGTTACCTCAGCATGGAAGGAAAATTAGTCAAACATTTACTGTAGACACTCATTGACTCATTTAACAATGGCACTGGCCCGTGTGAGACCAAATGAGTTGTGCGCAGTAGAAATTTAAACATGTATGTGTTCGATGCATCTTGAGTTTTTACTCGATTGACAGCAGGTTCCATTTAGTAGACTTTAACAGAACAACTTAGATGGAGGCAGCGATGATGGTGATGGTTTCTATTACAGTGACGATGCTGGTGCTGGTATAATGGTAGAGATTATGTTGATGATGACAATAAAGACATAAAAATAGAAATAAAGACAATGACAATCATGTTTTGTCATTAACAGCAATGTCTGGTAATACCAGACATCCTCCAACACAATGCACAACACATTTACCAGAGAAGTATCAGCAGTGTTATGGGTTTCCTTCAGTGATACATGGTTTGGGGGGGGGGGGTTGGGGGACATTTTGATATTTGTTATTTCTGGAGTAAGGCTTCACACAGTGACTAATTAACTAAACATTTTATACCTTAATTGCTCCCACGGAGGCAATACACTGAGAAGTTAAAGGAAAAAATCTAACCCCACAGAGGATGTAGCGGGTCTAATGGTGAAGGGGCATTTTGCTGACCTACCGAGTGGGACTTTTGAGTTCCTTTGGGGATAAAAGTCATTACAAAATCACCTTTAATCCGATGATCATTTCCTGATCAGAGTGGCCTCTTTCGTGATCCAAAAGCCCCCACCCATAGGGCTTTAGGGGTCACTGAATAGCTTGAAATGTGTGAAAGTAATGTGAACTGTATGCTACGGTCTTTCATATCACCACATGGTTATTGGAGATTGGGGACCAAAGTGTCAAAATCTCCATCATCATCATAAAATGCACAAAGTGAATCACTTTTGAAAGAATGACGTGTGCATAATGCATATGCATTTGTATTTACCTGTGTGTGTTTTATTTTGGTTTTTTTTGGTGCTCCAGACAGCATGCCGACAGAGCCAAGCCTGCCTGGTCCAGATGGGATCATTAGTAACTGTGCAATCTGTGGAGATAAAGCCACAGGGAAACACTATGGAGCCTCCAGCTGTGATGGCTGCAAAGGCTTCTTCAGACGCTCGATACGCAAGAGCCACGTCTATACCTGCAGGTACAGTTTGCAAAGATACACTGTGCAAGCATGAAATGCATAATGTGTGTATGCATGTGGGAAATATAAGAAATAGTTCATGCAATTGTCATAAATATCATCACAAATGTGCTTTTATACTCATGCACCCTTAAGATAATTTGCCAAAAATAGTGATAATTTGCTTTTTGTTTCAGGGTTGCATACTTTATTGTCGAATGATATGTCACAATTTTCTTGCTCTGATAACTTTGCATGTTCTGAAGGTTCAGCAGACAGTGCGTCGTGGATAAAGATAAGAGGAACCAGTGTCGTTTCTGCAGACTCAACAAATGCTTCAGAGCTGGCATGAAAAAAGAAGGTAGTGAAACCTCTTTTGAATGAGACGCGAAGTGAAATTGTTACACCTACATGCAGAGAATAGAGATAGAGTCTTCCTGATCTTTTACGTTTCTGCATATATGTCGCACAAAATTGTCAAACAAATTTTAATATTAGACAAAGATAACCTGAGTAAATACAAAATGCATTTTTTAAACAATGATTTCATTCATCTGTCAGATCAGATAAATCAAGAAAGTGAGAAGTGAAGTAGGCTGAAAGGTCACTTGCCTCAATTACGGTCAGAGTTCATGACTCAACAATAAGAAAGCGACTTGGCAATGATGATCTGGTCCTGCTCTGCTACTTCAGGACTTGAATGACTTGCCATAACTGATGGAACCATGAATTCTGCTCTTTACATAAAGAAGACCATCCGTTATCAGTCAAGCTTAAGTATTCTCAAGTTATGCAGCAGAACAATGATCCAAAACACTCCGGAAGTGTTTGGAGTGGTCTAGTCGAAGTCTGGACTCAAATTCTACTGAGATGCTTCGGCGTGATCTTAAAGAGGCTGTTCATGCTCAAAATGAAATGGAATAAAAATAGTTTTCCAAAGTGGGCCAAAGTTTTTCCACCGCGATGTGAATGACTCATTGCACAACTAGTTATTAAGTTTAGGGGCCATTTACTTTTCCACGTAGGGCCAAGTGGGTTTAGATAACTGTCAACCAGTATTTACCCGAGTTATCTTTGTCTAATATTAAAATTGGTTCCATCATCTGAAACATGTAAATGTGGCAAATATGCAAAAAGATAAGGCATCATGAAGAGGGCCAATCCCTCACAGCACTGTATGTACATTATATACACACTATGAAGGAGAAGTACCTTTCTTAGTGAAGTTTAATGACAAAGTGGAAAATTAAAATGAGAGAAGAAATTACTTCTGTCAGAGAAACCGACAAATGCTTCAAGATGGATGAAATGGGCTCTGCCATAAAACAGGTGTTTACTTAGTGTGTGTTTGTATTTATGAGGGGTATAACCTTGGTACAGAGTTTTACAACCCCTAATCATGTGTTATTTAAACATGTTGTTCTGGATTGTATCAGGTTAACGTTTGACTCCCTTTGTTGATGAGAGTCTGTAGTGCTATTTTTCCTTATTATTAACTGTCGTAGTGTATGCAGGCATCTCTTAACACTCATAAATTACTTAAAATTTAAAGCCTCAAATCTGGAAAACCAGGAATAAAGCTTCATTATTGTTACTTTGTTACTCTTTTTTGGGGGGGGGGGGGGGGGGGGGGCTATTTGACTGGTAAAGTGTTGGAGATGTTGCTTCTTCACTGTTCCCTTTTTTAGATTGCTTCCTCTTTCATGCATACACACAGCCATAATTATGTTTGTGATATATTAGCTGTGCAGAATGAGAGGGATCGGATCAGTTCCCGAAGAAGTATCTCCGACTCCCAAGACCTTCCAACTATTACTATTTTGGCCCAAGCAGAATCATTGTCCCACCAGGTGATAATCCCTTTATAAATTTCTTATTTTAAATCTCTTTTATGTTTGTATGTTAGTTGATGAACTTTATCAGTAATATGAGTGACCTGTAACCTGCAAGCTGTTCAATTCCTCTTCTCCGGCAGAGCACTACTCCGGTTGGAATAGCAGACTTGTCAGAGCAGAAGTCAGCCACTGTAGGGGACATATGTGATTCTATGAGACAGCAGTTATTGGTGTTGGTGGAATGGGCCAAATATATTCCTACTTTTGGAGAACTTCCACTGGATGACCAGGTAACTGGCTGTTCTGCCTGATTTGCAATCTGTGACTGTGACATTTCTTCTTTGCATGTAATGAGTGTCATGCATACAGTACTGCGCAAAAGTCTTGAGCTGCCCCTCACTTCCTAATATATGATAGCAAATGGCTATAGCAATGTACTGTAACATCTAAAAACATACATGGAAAGACTTTGTACAGAGTTTGGACAATCCTAAGGAACTTGAAGTTTGGTATGACTGCCTTTAATATCCAATTCAACCTAAAATTTCTTGCCATTTCTTGAGGTAGTCTTAAAGGCCATTCTAAAGCTATTCTTTGAATGTTATGTTCTCAGTCCCAATTAAGTCACACTGCTTCAATAATGTTAAGGTCCAGGCTCTTGCAAGGCCAGTCCATGTTTGACAAGATTCACAGCACCACTGGCTGAGAGCCTCCACCGTAATTTACAGGTTTCTGTGGACATTCACTGCTGTGCCTCTCTCCTGATCTCCTTTGTATATATTGATGACACAGTCCAGTTCTTGCCCATGGCTTCTTGACAGCCACCTTTGCACTGAGGCTATTTCTACTAAGACCTGGTGAACAGCTGAAGGGCCAGATGTAGGGATGGGTATCGTTTAGGTTTTATCCAATACCAGTACCAAACCGGTACTTTTGAAACGGTGCCGGTGCTTAAATGGTGCTCGAACCGGTGCTTAAAGAATGGAGAACACAAAATTGGTCCAAAAAGCTCTCATGTTCAGCTGTTTTTTTGTAAAAAGATAACAATGTTAGCCTTTTCTGCAGCTATAGGGGATTTATGGTATCACTCTTGGCTGGAAGCAGTGCTTAAACAATGCAAAAAACAAACTTTGTCCAAAAACCTCTCATGTTCAGCTGTTCTCCACTTTTTCTTTGGTCATTTTAGCCTTTTTGGCCAGGGTGAAGGGAGCATCTGCCATCAAACAAGAAGACAGCCGCATGTAACTACGACGGTGTTTGCTAGTTCACCTTACATGCATTAATTCAATAACGTGGTTAGCCTACTCAACGTAAATTACACACGAACAACATTAAGCTACTCACGCAGAGAAGAACGGCTGCTGCTGCCATCATCATCCCTCATCATTTCTGCTACACTGGCCGGGCTACGGGCCAGGACTCTACTCTTCGGGTTCTTGGGGGATGTTACTAAATCCTAGTCCGATAACAGGCAACCCACCCGCAGTAGATGTGCACGGTGTGAAGTCTCGCAGCAAGCTATCAAATACGGCGCATTTCTCGGCTTTTAACAAAATGCTATACGTCGCCAGGTGTTTCATCAGATTCGAGGTGTTACCTCCTTTGCACAGTATCACCTTAAAGCACTTGTTGCAGGCTGCTGAGTTTGCATCTTTTGCTGTGAAGTACAGCCAGAATTTGACCGCTTTGCCTTGGGCATTTTTAATCTGTAGCTCTGCTCTAAAAGAATGTAGGTACCTGGGCCCGCCTACTACGCTTGCAAAGGTAAAATGATTGGCTAGAATCCAAAGTGTATGACATCTCAGGAAAAAAAAAGCACCGAAATGTGCGCACCGGATACCGGTACCCATCCCTAGCCAGATGCACATTTTAGTTGCTGAGGTCCTTGCTGGAGTTTTCCTATTTCTTAATGACGTGACTTCAGTTACTCTTCATCTTCTGCACATACTGTTTAGGCTTGCCGCATCGTCTTTTGTCCTCCACCTGTACAGATTCTCTATGTTTTTACACACATCGCTGAGATATGCCAAATTTTCAAGTAACAGCTTTTTGAGAATCCCCTTGCAGGTGCAAAAAAATTATATATTTTATGCCTGTGAAACTGTGTTATCTTTGGCATTTGCCATAAATTCAACTAAGGAAAGGGGAAGAAATTGTGGGGGGTTTTAGGTTGCTAGCAACAAAGTGCTCAAAGATACAATTTAAAAGGGTTTCTTTTCCAGAGTTGTTATGTGTAGACAGAACATTGGTTAATCCCTTGAGTTACACTCCTTTTTTATGCTTGAATGATTCATAGGTCCGTTTGAAATAGCTTAACAAAAAGCAGAGCGAAACAAAACAAATAAACATTCCTCTGAAAACAGTCAGGTACAAAGCCCTTCAGACATCCTGGAGAACTATTGATTAAGACCACAAAAATTAGAAGCAAGCACTTGGAACCAAAATATAGAGAAATGAGGGTGGACTCAGGACATTTGTACAATACTGTACTTATTATCTCATGTCTGGTTTTGGAAACTAATTTTCAGCACTTGTTGATGTGCGAGGTTTGAAAACAGAATATTTGAAGGTAATGATTAAATTTGAGGCATTGTTACATTGTTTCTGTTCTTTGTTTACCTGTGTGTGTTTGTCCATAGGTGAGCTTGCTTCGGGCTCATGCTGGTGAACACCTCTTGCTTGGGGTTGCCAAAAGGTCAATGCCATTCAAGGACTTCCTGCTTTTAGGTAGAAACCAATGACTAGAAAGGCCTCTTCCTTATGTGTGGTGAAGTCATGTGGACTTAGAATGATTAACTAAAGCTTTCTGTTTCTCTGTGACTTCAAAAGTTTTTCTTGTAAATTACATTATTCATTATCGATACATCATACTGTAAGCAACTACAAACAATCAGGCACTTTTATACTTCTTAAGATCTCCACACCTATTTTCCATAGCCCATTGCCCTGCCTAAAAGAGAGTCTACAAGTTTCTCTGAAGGAAACAAAAATCCACCTGGCTCCAAAAGCACATACCACAGCGCTCCACCTCATACACACCCATGTTCAGTACCTACTTCATCTCAACACTGCCGCTAACTTTACTCACTGTCCCTGCAGGTAATGGCTGTGTGATCCACAGAGACAGTCCTGAACCAGAGATCTGTAGGGTAGCCAACAGAGTCCTGGATGAGCTGGTGCGGCCCTTCCAGGAAATACAAATAGATGACAACGAGTTTGCAGCACTCAAGGCTATTGTCTTTTTTGACCCAGGTAATGAATAAAAAGTGGCATTTAACCCCAGAACCAGTAAAAATAGTAAACCACAGATGATGACAGACATCACAATCAATTTGAACAGACGATTTTATCTTGTCTGCATTGCCTTTTCTGCTCATATCCATCTTTCCCGACATGTCCCGGCTAGATTTCCCCTCAAAGTTAGGTCCCAATCCCTCTCTTGCCTCTTTACGTTACCCTAGTGTGACCACAATCCCTGCCCCCATGTTTTGTTACTCCCTCCCTTTTCTATCCCCTTCACTAAATCCTTCATTTTGCACTTCATGCCAAAGTTTGACCATAATCATTCCATCAATTCCACTCATATCCGCAATTCCATCCATGATCTTTCCATTTTTATTTATTTATTTATTTATCCTGTGCTGCCCCGTCCCTCAATCCTGTCCTATATCCCTTCCCCGCCTTAACGCAACCCCCCTTCCTTGCTTTGCCTTCCATTCTGCAGATGCAAAGTCTTTGCGGGATCCTTCGAAGATTAAGACCATGCGACTGCAGGTAGGTCAAGCATTTGACCTTTCTAGATTGTTGCGGGACATCTGGTCATTCTAGGATATTTTTTTTCTTTTTTCTTTTTTTTTTTAAATTTTCAATCATGTAAATGATTTTGATTTCAAAAGCAACCATCCTGTCAATGTCATCATGTATTTTTCTTTTAATTTATGCACATCTTCTTTCAATATGTCAGCAAAATTAAAGAAAAATGGATTTTGCTTATAATGACAGTGACATGTGACCACATAGGGACTCTGTGTTTGTGCGTGCGCACAGGTTCAGATGAGTCTGGAAGACTACATTAATGATCGTCAGTATGACTCCAGAGGTCGTTTTGGAGAGCTGTTACTCCTGCTGCCCACCCTGCAGAGCATCACCTGGCAGATGATCGAACAGCTCCAGTTCATTAAGTTTTGCGGCCTAGCCAAGATAGACAACCTGTTGCATGAAATGCTTCTAGGAGGTGAGATTGGCTGATGTCTGTGCTTGTAAATGTGCAGAAAAAACAAATTTGACCTTGAGCACTACCACCAAATCCTCTGCTGAAATTTCTCAGTGCAGAATTATGAAGCACTGCGGAAAACAAAAAGAATACTTGCTTGAAAGTTTTCTAGTTTATATACAGGAGGCAAAAAGTTTTACACAATAACTTTGTACAATACGCATTTATATTTATATTACGTTAAGCTGAAATAGAATAAACCGGGTACATAAGATGCTGCTAGGGACATCTGCAAACAGATCTAAATGTATATAAATACGGGAAATCTGAAGTTAAAGCTACAGTGCATCAAATATATTCTCAGGAGGGCCATGACAGACAATTGAAGCTTGAAACATAAACTAAAAAGTCATCTCCAAAAATGTTTTCCAGTTTTCACCATATATGCTTAAAAAAAACCCTCCATGATATGACAACCCGACTTAAAAGAAAGAGCACAGAAATAGCTGCACTTGTTGCATTTGCCAGCATCTTGTCAGAACGTAGAACGAAACCACACACAAAACGCAGTAATAAAAACTCTCAGGCTATTCAAATTCTGTTAAGATGACATTATATTTAGCAATGAGTATGATCAAGCAAAACTGAAAGACAAAAGGAAAGATCCTGTATAGCTTATAAACATCTATAAAAAACAATGTGTCTTCTCATATCAAGTAATTTTTTTAGCTTTACTCATGAATGGCACAGACATATATGTATATATAAACTTGTTTAAACAGAAAGAAAGACGGCTTACAGGTTATGTTAGTATGTCTGGTAATAATCACCAAAAACAGACAAAAATGTAACCTGTAATTTTTTAAAAAAGTGCTTTAGGGGATTTTTTCTACAATAATTTAAGATCACAATTGTAGCCTCATGGTTTCACATCCTGCCTTTGGTCTTTTAACTTCAAACTGCTGCCTTCATAGTAATTCATTTATATTTTAAAGAAATGTTGTATATATAATACAGGAATCATTAACAACACCCACATAACCAATATGAAAAATTAAGTCTTACATAAAAACCTTTTGCAGTACTTACAGCTTCTTTAGCTTTACTTGAATGAAATGTCACCTGTTAAGTTCTACGGCTGTGATATTTATGGACCATATTTCTTATTCTTTAATCTGTATTCAGTGGTGACTCGAACAGAACATTGATTGAAATTTTCGTGACCGTGAAATCATGTACGGGCGACATACACATATCGGAGAACATAACATGGCATCCTCTGGGGAATGATGAAGTGAACATGATACACCAAAATCAAAAGAACTGGGACTTACTGTATATGTGACAATGTCTGTGCAAAGGTTCATTCAGGTTGGCCCATCTTTTTAAAAGGAAATAGGATATCTACACACATACAAACAAACTAGCTGAAAAATCAGTGAGTTAATATATTTTAATGTGAACAGACCTCTCACCTGTAGAAACACTCAAAAACCTAACTGCTTTGCAACTGTAATATGGTAAAAGCTGAATAAAAGTTAGTCTGGTTACAACAGCATATATGTTTAATTTTACTGAGTGGTATACATAAATGACATAGTCTCTACATTTACAGGGGATGGTAGGCAGTAGCCCAGACTACTGAGGTCGATGAGAGGGGGTCCAACTTTCAAAATTTTATCACTGCATTTAACTTATTTAGCAGTACGTAATTATACATTTATTATTACATTTAATTATACATTTATCTGACATGGCAACACAGTTTAAAGGGGGCAACAAGGAGTGGCAATCAAATTTCAGGGAGGTAGTGCCACCCCGGGTGCCCCCTTTATCCACACCCCTGAACATAAAGTAGCGCATGAAACAAAGTAGGAAGAAATCTGCAAAATTACTCTGGTTACAACTTCATCACTGTGTGTTGAAGTTTATTTGCACCTGTGTTATATTTTAAGGGCTTGCAACAGAACCCACACACCTGCACCATTCAGCACACACCCAGCTGGCCCAGGACCCTGTGACTGGACACACATTGGTCATCAGTACCATGCCTGTCAATCACACTCCACAAATAGGTAAGTTTCTGGATGCTATCAGTTAACACACACACAAAAAACAAAAATGCATGCAGTCATGTAAAGTGCATTCAGTAACACTGGAGCAAACGTGACATACACACAAACAAACACACACTTTATCTTATCTAAAGAGTGTGTCCAAAAACTTTTTTTTTTAAAATTATGCTTCAACAATGTAATTAAAATCTGTAATATATATGTATGTATATCACACAATCCTACAAATGTTGCTTTGTCCCTGTCTCTTTTCCTGCAGCCTCTCCAGACACTCCCATCCCATCGCCCCCGCAGGGTCCTGCACCGGAAATGTACAAACATTTTCCCCAGCCTGTTTGTCCTCCAGCGAGCCCTTCACCTTCTGCACAGACAGACCCCTGACTCTTTCCTGCATTATGTCAACGAATCTGACAGCAGATCAGTTTCCTTGCCCCCTGTTCATTATCCAGGCATGGTATGAAAATTATGACAGAAATCTCTGTTCAGTGTCAACAGTTAGACTTTCCTACCCCATGACTCCTGGAGCTCCTGATACAATATCCTAACTGGTTATGTGCACCACATTTCAAGGTTTTATTTTCTTACAGTGGCAAAACTCACAAAAGAAAAGCACAATGTTTATGCAGTCTTTTTCAGGTACAACCCTGTCTGTGTGTGTCTGCGTGTGTGTCTATGCTTATTTGCTTATTTCCTGGCACCAGAGTGTTTGGCAGCGCAGACTCTGGGTATCCTGATCAGGCGGCGCAGTCAAACATTGGTGCTCATTTTAGCACAAAATTGTATTTGCCTTAAAACACGCTCAGACCATGTCTTACCCATAGTCATCACACCGCAGCAAGAATGATACGTGTGCTTCCACTGTAGTCACTGATATGAAAGAGGGATTGTATTTAAGTTGCAATGATGGCACAGCAGCAACTTTATTATTCATTTAAATCTCCAGACTTGGCAGCAGGATCCGTCAACTAAAGGCATGTTCTCTGTTTTTCTGAGCATCACACTAGAAAGCTATTTCTCAGAGATTTAACAGTGAAATCATCTGGAGTAATGCAGCTGTCCCCAGGATGAGTTCCGAGCTCCATCAAAATACGTTCGCACACACACACACACACACACACACACACACACACACACACACACACACACACACACACACATATTATGTGTAATACAAAGTCCAGACTCTATCTAAACTTATATATATTCACATTACATTCGTATAATATTTCATTTTGACCACTGGAATCATATTCATAAATATTTGCTCACATGACTTTCATCCAACCTGAATGTTAAACAAGTAAACATGTTGGTGAAAACATTTTAAAACAAGCTCAAATGCATGCCTTCCAAATTTATTTTTAAATATCAGGGATAGACTCCCGCAGGGGTCCAGTAGCCTTTAATTTCGCTGTGCTGAGTAAGGAAGATAAAAGCTTGCAGCACACCGGAAGAAAAAAAAAAGTCCAGATGGTGGCGGCAGGAGCTCTCTTCATGGTTTCGCTGAATTTCAGTCTGACCGTTTGTTTAACAAAATTATCTCTAAGTGACCTGAAGACTGTTTATTTTGTTTGATGAGTATTTTAAACTGGTATTTTGCAGAGACACTCTTTTATATTTAGAATGCTGACTTTACTTTTAAGACATAAATGGGTCTGTTTAAATAGGCACTGCTGACAGCCTATTTAAGGTGATGTAGCTTGATTTTTATTTTGAAATTCGTGTGCTTTCTGTTTCACCTGTTGCTGCTTTTGTGTCTGAGCCTCCATCAGAGTTTAATATTCTGCTGCAAAACTGGGATTAATGAAGGAAGTTGTGCATCTATGTGGTCACTTAAAACCATTAACTGACTGATGGTATTCAAGTCAGTAAGGCACCCTTCTTGCTTAGTGAAATGAAAATGTTTTTTTTTAACTTTCTTTCTTGTCTTAAATTTCTTACTTGATTGGTTATACATATATATAAAACATATATCTACTGTAGATCAATCCTAATGTACTAAACAGTACAGTTTATAACTTATCTGAAAATATGTGAATGTACAAAAATTGCTTTTATTCATTATAGGAAAAAAAAGCTATTGCAAAAAAATAAATATAAAAAAAATTAAAGATACTCAGGAAAAAAAGCTGGCTATCACAAAAATAATACTGTTCTTTTGGGCCTAATACATCTAAAACTGTGCTCACCTCTAAACTAAAGTATGTACACAGGAAGTAAATGACAGTTATGCAACAAAATTATATATATATTTAAATTTGTAGTTAATATTTGATACTGAGTTATAATACACATAGCTTACACAATGAGACTTGCCTGATATACATACATATATTAATATAATAAAGATCAGCATTGCAGTAATGAAATTCATGATAAATGCAGAAAGGAATGTGGATAATATTTAACTTGCTGTATATATTCAAAATTACAGAAAATATAAATCCATTCAGTTTCTTGAATCAGCTGTATATTTTGGTTGGTTTGTACTGATGATGTGTACATTTCTGAATTTATATGTTGATTAAAAGACAATCTTTAAGAAGTGCTTGTGAATGAATTTGTCAATTTGGATTAACTGTAATGACCTTGCCATTCAGTACATTATGCTGTAGCACAGTACTACCCTCTAGCTGTGAAGAGGTGAAATACAACAGCGTGCCAGGTGTACTACTTGTTGTATATGTAATATATGAAATATTATATGTCTATGCATTCATTCATTTTTGTGTTTTATAAAACAAATAAAAAAAATGTCTGGAAAAAAAGATGATTCATTTCCAATTTATCTGTTTCTACAACCATAAAAAGTAATTTCAGTATAGGGTTTTTCTGCTATATGGAAAAAAGGTAAAATTGACTTTTTTTTCCATATTTGGAAAGGAAGACAATATAGACACAGATAATGACAAATTGGCAGAAATATATTTCAATATGGTTTACCCACATTCAGTAATAGTGAGTGTGGCTTGTCTATTACTTCCCTCATGGAAGTCATCACACTCCCCCATAGTTCCACTGGTCAGGGGTATACAGTTTGTATCCAAAGCTTTATTGGCAAGCTATTGAGACCACAGCGCCGGACGACGCTGCTCATCTAAAAGCAAACCAGCTTCCCCCCGTGGTCCATCTGAGGAAAACACATTATTGAGACAAACATTGAAGCCAAACTCGAATGCAAAGCTGTAATTTACAATAAAACTAAGCTGAGGGGTCAACTGTACTTTTAAATCTGTGATTCTGCTTACGTCCGTCCACACGCAATCATTTTATGGAGGTTTATGTGTATGTGTGATTGTTTGCGTGCAGTGGATGCAACCCAGGGATAAAGCCGAGAGCTCTTATTGTCTATATATTGTGGTGTGACTCAGAGAAAACATTCAGGTTATTTATGGCGGAGGAGATGATGTTGTCTAGAATCAACATGGCCAAATCCTCCTATCAACTCCATAATGGACAAGCTACCTGGCTTAGGTCAGAACAACACCACCTGCAACGGAAAGATGTGTGTATGTGCATATACAGTAGGTGTGTGTGTGTGTGTTCTCCCAGCTGCAATTTATTTAGAATCCGAGCGGGTGAGTGGGTGTACACTCCTGTGTGTGTTATTGGAATTGTGAGTATGTGTGCGTACCTGGGGAGCTTTAATCAAAGGCCTATAGTGAGGAGATATGGGGGCCCTGTCTCTCTCTCTTTTTGCTCAGATAAAACTGCGTGTTAGCATGCCAGTCACATATCTCATCTGAGACGCACTGCTCTCCTCCCCACACCTCACCTCACAGCGGCCCACACTGACAGCACGCTATTACAAACCAGTATGATACTCAGTCCACCTGAGGAAGGTGAAACAAAGGGATGAGGAGACAGACAGAAGGAGGAACAAAAGAAGGATGCAACTGTGAAATGTTTTGGTCTTCCTTAGCTGGATCTTAGGTTTGCATGTTTTAATTTTACACTTAAGATTGAGAAGTTCTAAAGTGGCCATTGCTTCTAGAGTGGCTAAGCTGATAGGGCATCGATTAACTTGCTTTGGAGAAAAACTGATTTCAAACTGCAATATTATTATTTGTTGTATAAGTGCTGAGAGCTGGGCTGCAAAAAGTTAATCCCCCTTTTCTGATCTGTTCATCAAATAACAATCCACACTGCCTTTTTCTGTCATGACCACTAGATGGCTGTACAGTACTGTTGTTTCCACAGGGACGTGTTGCATTTTATTGGTTGCGTGTATATATATTTCCTTCTTCTTCTGCCATCCTAAGCCAAATAAAAGATTAAAATAATCACAATTTCAATAATAAAAGAATCAAAAAATCTGAACCAGATTAACAAATGCAACAAGCCACCTTCATTTAGCTGCAACATTTAAGATGTCACAGTGCCTATATCAGTCATTTTATTTAACGTGTTTAAAGCGTGAAACACACTGACATGTTTCTTTTTACCATTTATTCTTCATCTGTGGTTTTCCCAAACTAATTAAAGATCAAAGCTTAAGGATTAGTTAAGCAATAAAGATTTTTAAAGAGAGGGGTTTTCAGCGTTTCTTTCTTTCTTTTTTTAAATGTAACTTTGCATTTGTGATTTAAAACTGTGATTTATTTTTTTTATGGAAAATGGCTAAAAAAAATTGCAAAGTCACACACTTTGGCTCCAGACCACGCAGGAGAATATTGGTACAGTCTGAAATGAATGGCATGTGTCAGCGATCCGAGATTACAGCCGGAGATTGCAGACTATCATTCCTCACCAGTGCATTTACCCATAATTCCCCTCTGTCTCTAACATATCCGATGATTTCTCCTCTAGGAGACAAGGTGAGGCGGTATGAATCTCTGCCTCTAACTCTGGAATGAATTTAAAACCTCTCCTGAGTGATTTTCTGTGTCTCTGTCCTGCAACTGTGTATATGTGTGTGTGTGTGTGTGTGTGTGTGTGTGTGTGTGTGTGTGTGTGTGTGTGTGTGTGTGTTGAATGCATGTGTGGTTTCTGATTATACCACAGGATGGGTGAAGGGAAGAAAAATACAGAGACAGCTTCATTTCCAAAGCTGAGTTCACATAAATGAGGGATTAAAGCAAGCATGAGGGTGAGGGTTCACCTCGGCCTTCGGTGACAGCTTTCCCTCCTTGAAATCACTCTTTTCCTCTTTGTCTGTCCCTCCCAGTCTCACCCTCCTTTCGTCACCTTCATATTTATTTTTGTCTCACAATTTTTTCACCCCTTTACATCTTCTTCCTTCTTTAAGTTATCTGCTTTGTCTTGTTGCTGTTCATTTTGACCTGCAGAGATAATCCACACGCAGATTTAAAATAGTGCACTGCTGGCTACACACACACACACACACACACACACACACACACACACACACACACACACACACACACACACACACACACAGTCAATTACATAGTTATAGGGAGCGGGGTCCACCACATTGCAATGATGGGGGAACAGGTTACGGTGATGAAATTAAGGGTTAGGGCCACACAGTGCTGTGTGTATGTGTGTGCAAGTGTGGGGTTACATTAGGGAAATGAAAAGGGGTGGACTATTGATGGGTTCTCAGATGCAGACTTGTTAGAATAAAGGAATATAAAAAAGGACAGCAGACAGAGGAGGTGACAGGGTGGATGATAAGATGAGTAGAGCAGGAATGAAAATGGTCCTCTGTAGCCTGAGATTACATAGGAAATGAGATTGGAGAGAGAGAGAGAATGAGAGTGCAGGGGGTGTACTGTAGAGGGAGAAAAAAAGGCAGCAGGGATTATGAAGAGAATGAAAGAATAGAGAAATATGGAGACTTGTTTATGATGAACCATGGTAAATGTCAAATGGGACAGACATGGCAAAGAGAAGAAGAGAAGAGAAGAGAAGAGAAGAGAAGAGAAGAGAAGAGAAGAGAAGAGAAGAGAAGAGAAGAGAAGAGAAGAGAAGAGAAGAGAAGAGAAGAGAAGAGAAGAGAAGAGGTATTACAACTCGGGACGAAGCAGCCCCACTCTGAATGATAAGTGTCTCACACACTGCGGGTTATGGGAAGTTCACACAAACAAATGACTCCCATTTGCCAGAGGCGAGGGACACAATTGAGAAAGAAGGGGCGAGAGAGAAAAAGGAGGAGAAAAGGGAGGAGGAGGGGAGAGGACTGAATACTAGAGCCATGATTTCAGATAACTCCATATGCATTTAGGAAATTCTTACCTTTTTACCCATCTAATGTTGTCCCGGGCTTGGAGCGGAAACTAAAGCGCCTTCAATCCAAAGGATATTAGGGACCCTGTAGTGAAGCGCAGCAGAAGTCTGCGCTTGGTATCTTAAATTATAGGGGCCTATGGACCTTGGTCAATAATACTAAATGTACTGCAAATTGTAGCATGTAGGTGGGCTATGTTTTGCACAATAAGAGGTAATATGAAACAGTAATAAAGGTGCAGGAATACTGTCCTTATTTACACACAATGTGGCATGGAACCAAAGCCAAGTATGGCTCTCTTTGATGTCATCACTGAAATATGTTTTAACCTTGCAGGCCAACGAATCTGCACATTTTCATTCTGACCAAACAAGCAGATGATTTTGCTTTCCACTTTTTCATTAGGTGCTTTCAGTTAAATGAGATGATTTTGGGACCAATAGAAGCCCTTCTAAGAACACTGCCTTGCAGAACCAACGGTTTTAATGTGGCAGGCCTGAATATTAAGAGACCATGTTTCTCACATATTAGCTTAGAGAAATCATTCTCCTCACACACAAGGTCTTGAATAATCAGGCCCCATCTTATCTAGTACTATATCACCTCAGTAGAGCACTTAGCTCTCAGACTGCTGGTTTACTTGTGGTTTGTAGGACATTTAAAAGTAGAATGTGAGGCAGAGCCTTCAGCTTTCCCTCTTCTATGAAATCAGTTCTTAGTTTGGATTCAGGAGATAGATACCATCTTTACCTTTAAGATTACGCTTAAAACTTTCCTTTTTGATGAAGCATATAGTTAGTGCTACATCAGACCCTGAACCCTCCTTTAGTTACCCTGCAACAGGCCTAGGCGGATGGGTGTTTCTTCTTCAGTCACCTTTTTCACCCACTATGTGTTTGTACACCACTCTGAATTTAATTGTTAGTTATTTTTAATCTCCCCCTCTCTTCCACAGGCTCTTTTGCCATGTCTTCCTCCCCTCACCCCAACCTGATGCAGGAGATGGCTGCCTGAGCCTGGTTTTCCCACAAGTTTCTTCCTGTTAAAAGGGAGTTTTTCCTTCCTATTGTTACCAAATGCTTGCTTATATGGAGTCTTATGATTTTTGGAGATTTCCCCTAGATTATTATAGCATCTTTCTAATATAAAGCTGAATTAAAACTGAATTAAACTGAATTAATTTGAATTTAATATAACACAGAGTGTTGGCATTAGCAGTTGTAGTAATTAACAAGTTTTTAACATGTTTATTTCTAATTATGTTAGAGCTTCAGCACAAAGTTTCCTCCCAGCAATCCAGTGTTGGGTACATGCTATAAATGCAAACCTTTAAAATAAATAAGTAAGTAAATAAGTGAGAAAGAAAGAAAGAAAGAAAGAAAGAAAGAAAGAAAGAAAGAAAGAAAGAAAGAAAGAAAGAAAGAAAGAAAGAAAGAAAGAAAGAAAGAAAGAAAGAAAGAAAGAAAGAAAGAAAGAAAGAAAGAATAAATTTCAGGTAACTTCATCTATACTGCATCTATATCTAAAATATCTGCGGCTCTTAGA